GTATGCAGATAATGAAGCCTCCATGGAAAGCGTAACATCATGAGAAAGATGGACTACCCTTACGAGGTTCATGTCAGGCTTTGTTTTTCCTATTCATTTGATACTCTGATAATATTATGATGTTTCAGTTGCATTTATTTGAGATTCTGAAACACCATTCAGCTTTACTATTGATTGCTTTGTCTTTATTTGATCAAGATCGTGCTTTAATCTTTTTTTCATCGATTTTTTTGTGTCAGTATTTCTTCATTGATTTGGTTTTGCTGTTTGTCTATTAAAAGTTCTTTCTGTTTTTATTCTTCCAATTTTTTTTCGTTGAAAGTAAATGTAATTAAATGGTAGAGCATTGTTATAGTGTCTAGATTTAAGTTGTGTATAATGGATTAAAATCTTTCTTTGTTGATTGTACTTTCTTTTCAAATAATGGCAGTACAATGGATGATAGTACATGCTCTCTCTTTCCCTCTCTCTCTCTCTCTCTCACACACACACACACACACACACACAACCCAGGTTTGGTACTGCTATTTAATAGATCGGCCTGATAATTGGACAAATTTTCGAGTTCGCTGATTGTGTTGGGGCATTTAATATTGTCCATTGAAGGTATGCATTGGATGTGAATGTGGAAAGGGCGGAAGATGTTCTCACCCATAAGTGTTTGTTGCATTTGGCTCAGGATCTTGCAAATAGACCTGCGTTTGAAGTCCGCCTAGGCCAGGTAAGTTGATTTGATAAGACTTCCATCTCAGCATTGCCAACTGCCAAGGAATGGATTCTGCATTTATTGCATATCTTGACGTCCCTCATGTCCACTTCGACACAGGATTAACATACCCAAGACATGTTATGTTGGTAATGATTTGGATATTGGAGTTCTTAATCTGTATTTATTTGTTTATCAAGAATTGCCATGCTTAACAGTCACTTTCTTCCATGCAGTTTGTTCATTTGTTTTCCCTTGTAGATATAGTGGTTTATTTTCTTAATTTTCCTTGTCAGGTAATTTCGTTCACTATTTTTGATTATTCTATTCGCAGGAATTTTTTTCTTTTTCTGCCAACTACTTTTTTATTTTTTTATTTTCTCGGTTGGGGGGTGGAGGTGGAAGTTGGGGTGGGGGGTTTGGGGTGCTGTTAGAACATGTCTACACTTTTCTGGTTGGTATAATAATTTTGGAATCACTTTCTTTTGTAGGTTCCTCCTATCTGTGATGGAAACTCAGGTGTGTCTCCTTCTAGCTCGCTAAGAAAGGACGTTGCTCAAAGGTATTAGTTTCGAGTGGTTCTTTTAAAGAAATTTTCTTTACCGAATTTCTTTACTGAATGTAGTTCAGTTGTCACTCCCATGTTTTCTTTGAATGTAATTTGTTTAATTATCCTGCTTTTATTTTGTTGTTCAGTCCACCCTTACTATGATTTTTCATAATTTTATATGATTACTGAAACCTGTACGTCTTGATTCTTTTTTTCTTTTTCATTTTTGTGTTTGTTTATTTCATGCAATGCTTCATCATTATATTACCTTTTCATATCCGCAGATAACGAAGCCTCCATGGAAAACGTAACATCATGGGGAAGATGGACTACTAGTACGAGGTTCATGTTAGGTTTTTTTTTCCCTATTCATTTGGTACACGGGTAATAGTATAATGTTTCAGTTGCATTTATTTGAGATTCTGAAACACCATTCAGCTTTACTACTGCATTTATTTGTTGGTGGTAGAATATGCACATATGATCCTCAAAACGGTGAACGAAGCCATCTGGGATGGTGTTGTGCCTCTATTGTGTGCTTAACTGTAAAATTTGTCATTTTCCGTTGGATTCTTATCTTTATTTTTCTTATGTTTAGCATATGACATTTAGCAGTTTGGGTTAATCTGGAGTTGAACACAAGGGGACATCGTGAGCATGTATTATGATCCCATGATTGCTTTGTACTGCACCATTAAAAGATAGGAGGGATTGCTTAACAAAGATTTAGGTATAACGAATGAGACAATTTTTTGATTCATTGTTGGAGTGCCAAAATATTGGATTGTGTGCTTTGCATGATGGCATACTTGGCTCTCGTGCATGTGTTGTTCCAAGACTTTTTGTGGTTTGATTGTATTGTGAGCTTTGCATTATTTTACATTTTTTGGATTTTAGATGAGCATATATGGATATTCATGAGCTGTTATAAAATCTTGGATATGTGCTATTCACATGGACGACTGTATTCTTTAGCAAAACTTGGGTATTCATAATATACCTTGATCTAACCTTCTCATGGGAGAAGACAATTGTTGATTCATTGTTAACTGAGAATTGCATATTGACTGTTATTGAGTACATGAGTTCTATTTCACGTTAGTATTCTTGAGTTTTGAAAATATAGCATTATGTTGATATATATATAGATAATTAATTCATGATATGTGTATAAATGAGTAGATGCTCATGCTTTTATGATCTTTGTTTTCTTCAATTTTAGGTTATTCATCAGAAAAAGTAGTACAACTAGAGAAGGCTGTTGGGCGCTAATTATCTAAATTGGTTGGAAGGATGTTTGAATTACAATATGATTTTTAAATATAATTTGTGTGGATGAATTGAACATGTTTCATGTGGATGTAATGTATAACATAATTGTTCAGATTTTACTGTGAGAAGGTAAAAGAGTTTTGAGAAAACTCAGCCTATCATTATGGGGAGATTAGAGTTGTAAATTATGATCTACAAGGGAATAAGTTGGTATAAGATATATATTTTTCAAATTTCACTTAAAAAAAGATATAGCATAAAGCACGAACAAAGCATGACCCAGACATGGGACACAACATGATCCATGCACAAACATAGGCACGGCTTGGGCATAACACAAGCAAACGTACCTCAATCATGCAATGTTAAGATACACTAATACACAAACACAAGAATGTAATGTTTACATGCATATTGTTAACACACTCACATTGACATGTCATAGTACACATAAGCACATTTACACATACTCATACATAAAAAATATACATACTAATACACCGGAACACAATGTTAATACAAGCACTCATCAAAGCATTGGGTCTTGTGCCTTGTGATGTGAGACTTTGATTTGTGATCTATCCCATAGAATTTAATAAAGTCTAATTTTGAACATGATTAGTTTGTGTGTGTGTCTTGTGTAATAATGTGTTTGTGTTTCTTTGGTGTTTTTGTGTTGGTTTGTGTTCTTTGGTGTATTAGTGTCCGTGTGTTTGTGTGTGAATAGAGTGTGCGCATGTTTTTTTTTAATGTTTTTTTTTGTGCATGTGTTGGTGCATGTTTTTGTGTGTGCATTTGTGTTTGTATAATTGTGTGTTTTATTTTGTTTATTTTTTGGTGTATTTGTGAGTGTTAACACAGTGTGTCGGTGTGTATGTTAGGGTGTATTCGTGCGTTATTTGGTATATTAGTGTGTATTTTGTTATATATTAGTCTGTGTGGGCATTTGTGTTTGGTTAATAGTGTGTTTTGGTATGTTGGTGTCTATGTGTTTGCTGTATTAGTTGTGTGTTTGTATTTTAGTGTATTATTGTGTCTGTTTAGGTGTATTAATCTGTGAGTTTGTTTTTAGAGTATTAGTGTGTTTTGGATGATGTATTAGAAATGTGTTTTGGGATTGTGCATTAGTGTATGTGTTTGTGTGTCTGTTTTGGTGTGTTAGTGTTTGTATTTTTGTTGTGTTATGTGTTTTTTGGTATATTTGTGTTTGTTTACAAAGTGTGTGTTGGTGTGCCTGTATTTTGGTATATTATTGTGCGTATTTTTTTCATGTATTTGTGTGTTGACAGTGTGTGCATGTGTTTGTGCGTGTTTGGTGAGGGTGTGTTAGTGCGTATGTGTGCACATGTGTGCATGTTGTGTGTTTCAATGATGGTGTGTTAGTGCATATGTGTCTGTTTTGGTGCGTTAGTGTTTGTATTTTTTGTTGTGTTATGTGTTTTTTGGTATGTTAGTGTTTGTTGGTGTGCATGTATTTTGGTATATTATTGTGTGTATTTTTTTCATGTATTTGTGTGTTAACAGTGTGTGCATGTGTTTGTGTGTGTTTGGTGAGGGTGTGTTAGTGCGTATGTGTTCACATGTGCACATGTTGTGTGTTTCAATGATGGTGTGTTGGTGCCTATGTGTGTGTGTGCACGTATGTATGTAGTAGTGTGTTTTTGTGTGTGCATGTGCTTTTGGTGTTTAAGTGTGCGATGTGCTTGCATATCTATTTTGGGCTTATTGTTTGCTAAAGACTTACTGTTTGCTAAAGATCTTGTGGAGTGGGGAACAAATCGTTTTAGTTTTTTTTTTTGGTTTTGGAAGAAGGAGGGGGTGGGGGGTTTGGAGAGGGAGAGGGAGAGGGAGAGAGAGAGAGAGAGAGAGAGAGAGAGAGAGAGAGAGAGTGAGAGTGAGAGTGTGTTGAAATAAGATAGTGCGAGGGATAGGCACCTGTGAATGAAGATACTAATTTCATGCAGAACTTTTGATAATATCTACAATTCATGCATAGAACTGTTTACATCCTGTATAGACTTTGCAGTCTGACATTGATTCTGGCCTTACAAATCTTGTATTTGATACACTGAGCTGTGGAATTATTCAGGATAAATCAACCTCAATAACCCCCCCCACAGCAATCACCAATCCTCTTAAAAACCTCACAGTGCCTCAAATGGAATGGAAGACCCTCAACACAATCCATCCTCCCAAAAATGAAACTTTGCTTCTAACTGCATTCGTTTCATGCCATCATTTCTGCAACTTCATCTTGATAGATTTTTGAAAATAAAAAACTTCATTCTTGCAAACTTCTTCCGCCATCCTCGTCATGGCAGAAGAAAATTGTTTTGTCAGTTTGAAAGGCTTGCAATTTAACCTCAAATTAGCACTTGAGTTAGCGCTTCTTGTATAGCTTTCCATGGATGAAATAAACTCTCCCTAATGCAAACAGCTGCATTTTTTCATCTTTCATCTCTGAAAATCACCTCACCCTCTTTCATGGCCTTCTGTTGAACCATCTCCTCTCTCATTGTTTCCACTTCTTCCAACCACATCGACCCATCCCCTGTTCTTGTTGTCCAGAATCAGAGCCTTTCCAATATCCATAGCTTCATTCAACAGTTTCCCGAAAGCTTGCCAGCTGCACCCTTCAACTCCTTTAAGGATAATTAGCCCTTTCCTCCTAACATTATTCATCAGTTTAGCGACTCTACATATTCTCCAAATCGAAAAAACCACTATCCCCATATTTACTGAAGAATACACCATTCCTCCTCCACTTCAGAGCACCTTCTATCGATTCTCTTAACCACTTCACACATCCTCTATTCAAAAACAGTGGAAAGGAGCCAAAATGATTCCACTCTGTTATACGAATTGAATCTGCTGACGTCCCTTCAACATCCATATAAAACCTTTTTTTCTCAATTCTGATTCCCATTGGAAGAGAGGAATTTGACTGAATAAATGACTAACGAATCCTACGACGACTTAAAAATCCCCCAAGGAGCAGAAAAATAAGGCACAGGGATTCAGCGAGCGAATTAGGTGGTTCTGCTGGCCCATTATCTTCAATAACTAACACATTTCCAGCATTTAAAGGGACTACTTCTTGAAACCTAATGACAACAAAAACAATAGTTGACAGTTTGACACAAGAACGTAGGGGGTCACTTATCTTTCTTCTTTGTTTCTGTTTATTGTTTTTCTTGTGATTCCTCTCTGGATTTCAAGGTATTGAATTTTTTATGCTCAATTTTTTTTTTGCTGGGTATTTTAGATTAACCATATAGAAATTTATTAATAGAACCTTAACTTGATTTGTACGCATATAGCGGTAAAAGATTGGAAGTCTGGTGAATTCATTCATGGAACTTAACTAGTGAAGTACTGAGGGATCTCAATTTTTGTAGCTGTTTTTTATTTATTTTTTATTTTGGTCATTAAACTCTAGATAAAATCCCATAGAAATCATGATTATGATGCTAAAAATTGTTCAAATATAATCATCGAAATAGAATGTGTTTCCATACAAAATCACAGGCCATTGTAATTGGAAATCCAGACTGGCTCATTGAATAACTAGCGGTATTTAGCCTTTCGTTTCGTTTAAAAGATTGAATAGACAATGCCTCGGCTTATGTGGAATAAAATGCTAGCAAAAAAGGAAACTTCAGAAGGTGAAATATGTAGAAACAAATATGTTCGGAACAGATTTGCGTATGATGGAGATAAGAATCTGTATACATTGGGGCCTCTTCCAGAGAACAATTTTGAATTCATGGTGGTTCTTCAGGAATCTTTTGCAAAGCAGTATGTCCTTTCTTTATATTTTTCAAGTACTTACGTGTGTTGCATAATTTCCAAGACTTAAAGTATATTCTGCCTTGGTGGTAGTGGGAGTCCTCCTCACAATGGGAGCCCCAGTGAGTCTGGTAAAAGGTCAAAGCATTCTTTACAATAAAAAAATTTTAAAGTCGAGATCAGCTATGCTGCTAAAATACTTTTGTAGTCCATTTCTCTTTCCCTCCAAGGAGCTGATCCAGACAATGTTCAAGATGCACTAAAGGTGCTTGATGTTATATTAGGACAGCAAGCAACTATTTGGTACTTGGAAATTTCTCCTTTCAAGGTTTCTTTTGAGGTTTCTAGTTTCTTCAATGCTGCTTACTTACATATTATGTAATTTGGATATTGAATGCAGGGGTTCTCTTTTGGTAAGACGGTCATTCTTTCATGACAACTTAAGGAACTTCACTGATGTTGGAGGAGGTGTTCACTAGGTGTTGGGGGTTCCGTTCCAGCTTTCGTTCAACTCATGGTGGTTTGTCACTTAATATGGGTATAATCATCATTTTTTTTTCTCCATCTCACTGTGCCAATGTGATTTTGCTGTCACTTTCTGGCGATTAATGTAGCTTTGATTTCTTTGGGCAGATGTATCTACAACTATGATCTGACGCCTGGATCTGTTATTGATTTTCTGCTAGCTAACCAGAACGCTTGTGAACCTTGTTACATTGACTGGGCAAAGGTAAACTAACTGTTTAATTGCACAGTGGATCTCATTTTTGTTGTTATTTCATGTATATAGTTAAATATTGTGTCATGTACAGGCCAAAAGAATGCTAAAAAACATAAGAATTAAGACAAGACACAACAGGGAGTTCAAGATCATTGGTTTGAGTGACAAGCCTTGCAATCAGCTCTTGTAAGTGCTTTTTTATGCCATAAAATTTCTAATTTTCATTGTAAGTCGTCTGAATCATTTATTTGTTTTACTGTTGCCTTACAAGTTTCCCACTGAAAGTGAAAAACAGTGATGGTGCCTATGATGGAGGACAGACTACAGAGATTATGGAATACAAGTATTTTTCCAAACATCGGAATATTGAACTTATTCTGCATGTATGCATTGCCTTGATGCTGGTAAACCAAAACAGCCAAAATATCTGCCGCTGGAGGTGTGCATAATTCTCTCACTAGAATTTCTGGGTTGGCCCAATTTTCTTTATGTATAATACCTCAGTGTCCTTCTCTAGAACAGATGCTGATGTTGTTTTCTTTCCTATATTCCAGCTTTGTTCTCTTTTGTCTGTTCAACTTTATACAAAGGCATTATCTTCAGTGCATAGAACATCTTTAGTTGAAAAGTGTAGGCAAAAGCCTCGGGAGAGAATAAGAGTTGTAATTGATATAAATCTTCTTCCACGTAAATGCTTGCTCTTGTAGTTTGTAATATTGCATTTTACTGATCACTCAGTTTGGCAGGCTATGGGAAACTACCATGATGATGATCCCCTCCTTGCTGCTTGTGGCATGTAACAACTCACCCAAGTTGATGGTCGGGTCCTAGAGGCACCCAAAGTAGAGGTTGACTTTCTTTACGCGGTTTTGCAGTTTTCCTTACAATACAGGTATCACTACACTGAACAATAAGATAAGAATTGAGTGTGCTCTTAAAATCGAATTTTCTTTCAATCTGCAGTTGAAGGTTGGTAACAGTGAAGATTGCTTCCCACATAATGGACAATGGAATTTCAATAACAAGGTATTGCCCACACAATTTATAGTATAGAGTTGTTGCTGAATTTTTTTGCTCCAGGGAACTGCTTTTGGATTTCTATAATTCAAGCAGTGGACGCAAACCAGCTCATACCATTGTCTTCAGGTATCACCAATAGCTGCCTTTGGATTTCTTTCTTTTATAATCTCGACAATGTGTTGCATTCCAAAAGGTATTTACTTTTTTGAGGACTCAAGCTAGTGTTGGCATGCTCTAATGTAGTAGATGTTTTTTGAAATTTATGACCACCAGACCTTGGCAACTTAAAATGACCACAATTGATTTTGGTTATTTACCCAAAGAAAAGCTCTTGAGAAAATTGGTTGTTGTCAACAAAATTGTTGTTTTAGATATTGAGCAATACTAAGTATGTTGAGAAGTTAAATTGGAAAGATTGTCGGGGCTTGAACACTGTGACAGGCACCATGTGTTGCATTGCGATATCAAGAGGTCAAATCTTATTACTGATTTTGTTTTTGCAAGTTATTCCTTTACATCACTCGAAAACTAGATCATGTTTTAGAGTGGTGGTTTAAATTTGTGACATGTTAGATTGTTAAATTCATTATTTACTTTTGCACTTCTACTTAGTTGACGAGCATGCTAATTGGCAGAATGACAGTTTGGATTCCATATATGACCAAGAGATTTATGATATACGGGAAGTGCTGTGATTTGCTCATGATCTTAGGATCCTTTTGGAGCCAGCCCCATAATTTTTTTTCATAGAACATGAGAAGAAACTGATGTGGCGCTATTGAAGAAGGCACCAGAGAAGCCCTTATTGATCTTTTTCCTCTCTCAAATTTTTCTTTAATTCCTTGCTAAGCTCCTTGAATACCTCCCAACCTTCCAACACATGAGAGAGGAGAGATTCCCCATCTGAATAATAGCCCCAATTTGGAGGATCATCTTTTGGGTTATGAAGACCGATATCATCCCTCGCCTTGACCTTATTAGAACACAAAGCTTTATGGGTGTTTCTCATAATCTCCTGAAACATTACTGTAGAAAAACTTTGTTCATTCAAATTACAAACGGGCAAAGGAGATGCAACTTTGCAATTATCTGGGAGAGAGTAATTATCCTGATGAGTTTTTGAGTTTCATCCTCCATTTGCAAACTTTTCTCTACTGCTCTTCTCTGCCTTCGCCTTTTGGCCCAAAGATCTCATCTTTTCCATACTCCTAGGCTCCACCAGAGTGAGGCTGTTACATACCCTCGATTTTTCCTTCAATTGCAAGTCATCAGATTCCCTACTCTCTTGATTTATCTGCAACCCCTCCTTTTGGCCATGATTATGGTTAACCTCCTGTTTATCCGTTGATATTATCACTTTTCTGGACTTTACTTGACTCGCCTTGAACTGTTTTCTGGTAGTACGTTTTCCTTTGTCCAGCCTCAGGTTTCAGTACAATCATATGGATCACCTCTTTCCCCTCCTTTTTATCCTCCCTTACAACAACCCCTCCATCATCCTAAGGAGAAAATTCTTTTTATACATTCTACCTCTTCATGACCTTGCTTTTAAAGCAATTCCTACAATACTTACACCTTTTCTTATATTGAATTTTTTGCCAGCCCCATTTATAACCCCTTTGATCCAGCCAAATCCTCTACGGATTATCTGTTAATAAATTAACTTCTACACATGCATGGTCAGCACTAAGCCTTGTTAAATTAAAGTGGCCTCATCTATAGCAAGAATCTTACCAATTGGGCTTAGAATAGAAGTAAGGCATTCTTTAGTAAACAGATTGAAAGGCAGCGCTTGTAAAGAGATCCACATTGTAACAACTGCTGGTTCAATGCCAGAAGTAAAATCTGGTGGCCACTTAAAGAACCTGAACAGATGGCCCTCAATATATATAGCGTCCTTCACCCATGTTCGGACATAGTCTTCAAATAAAGAAAAACAAATGGCAATATGCCTAGGATCAATATTTGTAACATAAAACTCTCCTTTAATCGCCCACTTCGAGTTTATGTACTCGTGAATTACCCCCAAAGATGGCCTCCCATAAGAACATTTGCCAAACAAAGCGTGTTGAAATGGAAGACATGTAGATTGAATCTCCTCCTTGGTCCAATACAGAGATGGCTCACCATTATTGAAAACTGGCTTTTTAACCGGAATCATTATCGGAGGAACAATTGTAGAAAGAATAGACTGTGTAGGAGCTTGAGAAAATAGAGAAGAAAAGGTCATATCAGGTGGCTTTGGTGGATTCAAGCTAGTTGTGTCATTCTCATGCATTGAAAATTCTAGAGAGAAATTGGAGCTTTTCTCTCTATAAACAAAATATGATTTTCTAAACCCATGATCCAATTTGTTATAAGTTGTAGCTCATTTATAAAACGGGTTAAAAATGGATTGGACCCGTGTTGCACCCAAGTTGTTATGAACCCGCCCCGACCCCCCTTTTGCCACCTCCACTGTTAAGGTTATAAATTATGGACGGTCATCAAAAGTTAAATGTTATTTGAACAATATTTTTTCTTTGGTGGTTACATAATATATTAGACATTGTCTTTAAGGTCTTTCGAAATCCTAAGACTAACATTTCAGTTATTCATATTTTGTATTGGATTCTAGTGACTCTAATATAGCGAGTTAGATCATGAGAGGAAAATTACTTTGCCTCTTTGATGTTGTCAATTATCTGTTGTACCTGGTGTGCATGTTGTCTATATATTTTTTATTAGGAAGAAAGTTGGAGTATTGAAATTGGATGAATTACTAAGTTGGGTACTAATTTTGTAATTTTCAGGAACCATTACTAATTTTGTAATTTTCAGGAAACATTTTAATTAATGCTACCAATGTTTCTATGTCTGTGAAAATTATGATGCATTTTTTGTTGTGGGAACAAATTGTATTAATTTATTTATTTTGTTGTTGGGAGGGAGGGGGTGGAGAGAGAGAGAGAGAGAGAGAGAGAGAGAGAGAGAGAGAGAGAGAGAGAGAGAGGGAGGGAGTCAAAAACTTGAAATAAGATAGTGCGAGTGACAGACACGTGGAAGAATATACTAATTCAATGTACAACTTTTGATAAAACCTGCAATTTATGCATGGAATTTTTTAATCTCATCCATGTGTCTGTCAAAGAATATTCTAATCCAATGTACAACTTCTGATAAAACCTAAAATTTATGCATGAAATTGTTTACGTGTAGAATTATGATCTTCATTGTATAGGTTTGTAGTTACGTTAATTTTGGCCTTACAAATCTCATCCATGACACACTGGGCGGTGAAATTATTCAAGATAAATTAAAGGACTTGGAGCAGTCTTATCATGCAGAAAGAGAGTGTTTACTGATCCATTTGGAGCATCTCATCTTTGTTCATAATGCCTAGGTTCTTGACTAGGTGTCTGGTTTAATATGGAATGAATATCATCTTTTTTGAACTTTTTTAAAAATGCCAACTTTTGAATTGATATATCGGCTTAGTTAATGATCTCAAAGTTGAACTTAATGTAACTAAATACTTTTTAAGCTGAAATTTCTTTTTTTGTGAGTCTTTTTTGTCTGCATTTTTGTGCTTGGGTTTGTCCACTCATCGTCAGGTATACTACTCCTTTGCTCCCAATTACTTAATTTTTTTTGTTTTTAAAATTTTGATGTCAATTTAGATATTCTCTATTGATTGTAGTACATTAAGATGCTGGAGGAAACGCCAACCTGTTGGAACTTATGGAGGCTTAAGGCAGCAATCTAAGCAATTGTGAAATTACCTACAGAGGAACTTGTAACAGGTGGACCTTAATTTGCAAAAAACTTTTTCATTGCTTCTCATTTTTGTCATGAACCTTAAAGTTCTTAAGTATCTTCCCTATGATCTCAATGATCAATATTGCTTAAGATTTCTTACAGTTACCAAATTATGCTTTGGATATGGATGACTGATGTGGATTTGTTGTCAATAGTAATGCAAGTTCCAGTAAAAAAACTTTAGGGCTTTGGAAAGAGAGGACATATGTGCATACCTTCGTAGGGCAGACAGGTTTGTTTTCTTGCATGTTTATGTGACTATTTCTTGACGACAAGGTACAGCTTGATGACAAGCAAGGATCAAAATTTCGTTTCGAAGTACCGTTTCGGTCAACTCAAAAATAGAAACGTTTCGGAAACATTTCGGAAACGCAATAGAAACGCAGAAAAAAATATGGGAAACGCATAGAAACACAAATGCAATCCATTAATTTATAAAGATATGCTAAATAATTTATTAATTCAACATATTTATTAGGTTAACATCAATTTATACAAGAATAAATTTAAATTTGAGGGAAAAAAAGGCTTGACTTGAGGCGAAAGTCACTTAAATTAGTTTCAAACACTTAATTTTTATGAAATA